ATTATTTAGATAAATCAAATGTTAACCCAGTATCGACCAGTTAAACATCAGTTATTATCAAGGGTCTGGAATTTCTTATCGATTAGTTGAAAATTGTTCAAAACATCTAGACTACTATTTTTCTCTCTGTATTTTTAGGTATAGATAAATTAATATGATTATTCATATCTGGATGTTCAATATTTGGTTATTTTCTAAGATTATTTCCTGATTTAAATAATAGTAAATTAAATATAGACGTATTTTCATATCTTATTGAACAGTGAGATTGTTGCAACGAGCGGTGTCGGCAAACTGATACCGATACCCTGTATGCTACTTGCTAACCCCTCAGTTGACTACTTAAGCGGGTATACAAGAGTGGGCGAGAAAGTATATTTAGCTACAACTCTAACCCTTAGGGAAGTGATCCATTTTTAGGCCAATGAAATCCAATTGTCCTCTGGATAACTTCTGATTGCCATCGATTGATCTTCTCATTAGTCTACTTCTGATTGGTTTACCATATCAGAAACTAGATATTAAGTGGAATGATGAATGTCTAAGCTGACAAATTTTTTGAATATTTATTCCTAAAAATCATTTAAAAAATGGTGCATTATCATTATTATTAATGGCTTTATTCAATATAATATTTTGGTACAATCTAGAACTCATTCATAAACGAGGAAATAAAATGGTAATTTAGATGAAATTAAATTATCAATGTCATTTATCACTTTACGAGTACAATTACTACACATCAATATTAATCTCACTCGAATAAACTTTAAGCATTCCGACTATCTGTCTCTTTCCATTTAACTGTTCTCCTTTATTAACTTCTGTCATTTGTTAGTTTGATTCCATCTCAGCTGTCCGTGTATCCTCTTTTTTTCAATTAAACATTAGATAAGTAGCGTTGATAAATTGGAGTAGCGTACTCATAAAGGTTATTGATTATTCTTGTCTTAAAATGATACTTAGATCTGATTGGCCAATAATTTGGGTAAATAATAGTAACATCCAATTCAACCATTGATTTGTTTACAAATGATATTTTCATTTTCCCTATAAACACTATGTAAATACATACGTACGTATTGCCCAAAGGAATATTCATATTTGGGAAAGAAATGAATTAACTAACAAATCTATACCATCAGTAGAAATTATCTATTGAATTAGTTTATTCAAATGAATCAATATCGGAAGGAGCAAAATGGTCGTTTGCTTTGTTCATTCTATGACAGAGTAGAAATATATATATATATATATATATATATATATATATATATATATATATATATATATATATAGTTTGATTGAATGTTTCTTGTTGTGTAGTTCCGTATACGTATGTGTGTTTATCTGTGTATTTAAGCTTTTTACATATTGAACGTTTGTCTTCTTGTTTTCTCCGGTACAATAATAAGTAAGTATACCTATACGATTATAAAATAATGGAGGGATAAATGAAATTGAGCAGTTGATTGTGACTATGTATTCGTGCTATAAGTCTTATCCATTCTATTTAACTAGTATTAAATACACGCACAAAAAGAAGAAACAGTAAAAAGCTCCTAATGAAATAACAAAGATTTTTTTGTATGAAATAACTGTATCGTTGTAGGCACAGCTATTCAACCATTAGAATAACACATATAATCAAATAATGTTATTTTCAGTCAAATCTTCATCAGCTATGTATGTAAGAAAAGAATTTGGACTAATCAAGGCAGTTTATGAGCCAGTGATAACAATAAAACAAAGGATTACATAAGTAATCTTAATAAGTAGGAAGTACAAACTGATATTAAAACGATAAGTGTATTGTTAGTGATAGGGATAATATGTTGACATAGGTGGTAGGTTAGTGTTTTAAAAAAATAAACTTTCTAAAATAACAGTTGAAAGGAAATAATTTCTATCCAAATTAGGAACGACAGAGATATCATAAACGTTTTCTGAATACAAGGTCTATGGTTATCAGTTTAAAATCTATATTAGCTCCCACCATATGTAAGATAAAGCAAACGCCACTCTAAAAATTAGATGATATTTGACAAATCACTTTGAATACTTTGATTCCGTCTTGCTCATAACTACTATCCACTGAATGTGATAAAACAGATCTGTGTATGACTATTGTCAGACCCTCTGAAAACCATGGGAGGAAGTAAAACTGTCTGGTTGTAAGCCCGATATAGCTTTCTCCTTAGAAGTAGCTGGATTAACAATTACGCGTTGATTTGGAAATATCATGTACCTTACGACAATTGACGTTATTGATACTTTTGAATACTTAACAGTAAATAATGTACGCAATTTTCAATCAAGTTGAGTATAAACGTGATTATTTTGTAACACTAAGAAATTTTCAATCAAACTTAGACAGAATTACCCCATGTAGATTCTCTCCAGCAAATTGGAAAAAACCCTTCACAAATGCAAGCAACTAATCAGGTTCTTGAGTTAATGTCAAGGTTTGTTATCTCCTCCGTCTATGTAAATCATGGTGACTAGTGTGGCTTTTTCTCAATCCATTTTTCAATTGGTTTATGTTTCTGATGCAATCGCGGTGGTTTCTGTCTTAAATAATTGTGTTGTGTTGTTCACTGTCCGACTTCGATACTGATACTCAAGCTTCCCATATACGAGCCCTACTATCTGCTCAAGTAAGAGGATAGAGGGTGAGATGGAAGTTTTTATGGGTGAATTAATCCGTATATGTATATATTCATTTATATGTATACTCCTATCTCTTAAAGAAAATAAGCCATCAACCCTTAGAAATGGTAGGCACTTCTTATTTGGCCGATTGCTGATTAGCCTCCAACAACAAAATGTTATATGTATAACATTTTGTACATGGACACTTCTTTGTATAAAAAATAAGCAGAAGTATTTTAACTTTACTAGTTGAGTTAATTGAAGCTAGACCACCATGGAAAATGTGGATGTACTGGATGCCCATTTTGTCCCACTGTGGGACTCCTCACCAGTGCTCATTCACGATCCCGCCTCGCGAGATTCTAACCCAGGACCTATCAGTCGCGAAGTATTTTAGATAATGACCTAAATTTAAGATATTGTTTAGATAACAATATATTTCACATACCTACTTAATAAACATCACACATCACAGTTTGTCTATTTAACAACCTCAAAGAGTTTCCTGTACTATGCGTTTGTTTGTCCGCAGTCAGACATATGTTGTTATTAGTTCGTTGATGCTATTTTCTTGGAGGGTTTGTAAAAATATTGTAAATATATTTACATTATATTTGGACAATAAAAGCTAGCTCATTTTATCTTGTTTTTTCTTGGATTCAATTCAGTTTCCTAGTCAACATTTGATCTTTTTTTCTTTCGGAGCCAAGCAATTAGATATGAAATTCCCTACGCTTATTGTTCAAGGTAGTTGAAATTTGATGTAATAAGCGAAATTTTTACTGTGACTTACTCTTCTATTGTTTACAAAACAGAATATCTTGTAATACTGCAAGTATGATACAGAAACTAATGACATATATCATTCCATTTCTATAATATCCTGATGAGGACACATTAGATAAACACTGCAATAATGTCATAGATTTTAGTTACCAGTGAAAATTGTTCATTACTTTTAATTAATTGACATGTATTAGAAATATTGGATGGAATGTACATGACGTTGAAATATAGTTTAATCATTAAAATGATAGGTTTAAAGAGATTTATCCTTGGACTATTGTTGTGTTCCACTTTTGGACTCTTTTCCTATGAGAACCCTTAGTTCTAGATAGAAAAGAACGAATACCATTCGATTCTTAAGATTATCACTTTCGATTTCGACTAATTGTTCACATTGTTTAACGTTGGATATATGATCACATCGGTGATGTTTGTCTCCGGATATGGAAGGCTCAATCAGTTGGAAATTTTTATTTTTAGCTCCAGAATTTCATCTCTACTCCAGTCACTAGTGAACATATGATCATTTTACCAAAAATTCATGACCTACTCATTTCACCACTTTTAAAATTAAATCAGTAGTTTTTACTAATGATATTAAATGATAGTTTCACCATCAATTTTTTACCTAGTTCCAGAAAAAACGTACCATGTTCGTCAATAAATTTAAATGCAGGCACATCCAGCTGACGAGTCTCAAAAAGGACGAAACGTGTGCCCTAGATTCCACTGCTAGTCCTCATCCACCTTTGCTAATAAATTTAAATGTTTTTGATTTAAATTCGTTATGAGTTTGTGTTTTTCCTTACTGGTTAACAATTTCAAAAACAATGGCGAAACAATTCTACTGTCCAGTGTTTCCCAATTTTTAATGGATACTTTAGATGACTTTATGTGTATGATGAAAATTAACTTGTTAGTAATAGAGAGTCTGTGAATATGACTTTTCTTTACAGTCCACATCATGGTCTTATATATGTCGGACAACCATTGAAGACCACGAAGTATTGAACAACTATTTCATCTTACTATGAGTTTCCTCAGTAGTGTTTATCCATGACCTTATCATGGATTGAACCAAGAACCTGATCTTCAAACAAGCCTTAACCTTTAGACCATTAAATTTGAATCTGATAGTTAACATGTCTAACTTCAATCAGTTCGTGATATTGCATAACCCTCTTTCAGTATCATTAGGTGGAGTAAATGCTTCGCGTACAATACGGTTAAAGTCCGTTTGTCATGGCCTCTTACTAGAACACTAAGAATTACTTCTTGAAAGATGGTATTAGTGAGTATATTATCTCCGCTAGTTTTTAGTTTTCATTAGTTATTTGTGATAGAAAACTTCAAATTTCCTATACTATAAAGTTGAATTAATCAATCAATCATCTTTACGTTTTTTTTCAGAATAAAAGCTTTTTTTTTCTTCTTTAAGGCTTTAAATCTCCTTGGCAGGTATTTTCTATGTATAGTAAAACAACGAATGAAATGGATTAATATATAAATTATTTGATTGTTACTGTTTTATTATTTACTTTTTTTCTCAATTTTGTTGATAGAGAATTAAGTGTACTTGTTGAACCAAGAGAAACAGGTCAAGTTGAAATGCTTGTTTCTTATGTGGTAAATCGTTGTGGATGGAAACCAGCTTATGATATTCGTATTTTTAACAATGATGGAACAATGAAAGTAAGTTCTTTTTTTATATTATTAAAAATGAATAAGAATTTAATAACTTTTTATGGCTCTTGTATCTGACTCCAGTTAAATTTTATGCCAACTGTTATTGAAATATAAATGTTTTCAATCCTCATACATTTATATCGACTTAATTCGCGTTAGAAAATAACGGAATAAAATAAGCTAAATATGAGAATGAATTTAGAATACATATGTTTCATACACCCACTGATCATCACAGACAATCAGAGAAACGCAGAGGAAGAAACGAAGCGAAAGGAAACGAAACGAAATGAAGTAACACACGCAGCGGAGAAGGTGAGTGAGCCAACTCCATTTGACCAAGAGTAACTCAATATTTATTGTCAGACCCAAAATAAGTTACAGACACGTGATGAATAGGATGAGCAGCTAATGACACATACAATCAGATAAAAACAGTCAGAGTTAATAAGCAAATAATCAAGATAAAAATATGGCTTGAGAAGAATGGATAAATTAATCTGACCAGAAGCTAGATAAACCTAGTGTGATTGACATAGTATCAGCCACTACAATCTATTGTTAAAAGGAATATGTCACTAAAATTTCAAAGTTAATTTCCTTTGTTTAATTTACTTAATTGACAATAATTCATTTCATTTCCAATTATAATTTCATAACAGAAATAATGTTAACTGTGACCATCATCCAATTGATGATGATCGTTTAAAAGATATCGTTCCACTTTTACATTATATAATCATTGCACTCATTGTTTTTTTGGAAGTACACTAAAAAACCAATAAACTCCAGTGAAGAATACAAAAAGTAAACATATTTTGTTTGCCTTTTTCTGATAGAAAAAATTCTAGTTGAAAGTGAACACGAACTTTGATTAAGTTGATGTTGTCACTTTCAATATGTCTGAAATTTCACCCGTCATATATTAGGATGAAATAACTGTTTAATCCTTTCAGATTTTCAATGGTATCCTAACTATGATCAGTTAGTGACGAATTAAGACAATAGGTTGGTCGATGGATAAGACGAAATTGTTAGCAATATTTCATTTTCTGTATAATACTTTAAACAAAATGGTTATATCAAGAAAAATCAACATAAAGATGCATATATACCGACAGAGATTGATCAGAAGTTTTTCGTAATTATCAACAACCCTAACTAATAATCACATATTGTTCAGAGCATTTCAATTCTCAACAGTTATCTAGTGATATCGGTTCACAGTGAAAATAATCTTCATATAAATTTAACTGTTACTGTAGTGATGATAAACAAACGTATTTGAGCATAAAATTATAGAACATCTCACTAAAATCTGAGAACTATATGGTAAATAGTTAATTTGCAAAATATCAATCCATCGTCTCAAACTTGACTGTTCCTTCTGCAAATATCAGTCCATTGTCTCAGATTTCATTGTTTATACTTTTTCATACCAATTGCTTCCTGTTCTTGTTCTTTCCTCCTCGATCTTCTACTGAAATACATTCTATTCCCGACCATCGTTATATACTACTTATGTGAATATAAGTAGCTCACACCACATTACTAGTATTTGTGTGTGTATGTGTACCCTTAAAAATCATGATCGTTTATATCGTAAATGCTTCATTAATCTGGTTATAGGAGCACTGAATAACTGTTGTGTTTTGGCGTTGAATTTCTAAGCAGTACGTAGACTAATGAACTCTCACTATACGTTCGCTGTACAATATTGCAAATTTATTAAAATCGAAATTGTACCATTGGATCGATCGAAACTAAGTATAAACCATTAAATGAGTACTCAAGATTCTAAAGGTTAGGGCTTCACCCCCACAGATCTGAAAATCCAGAGTTCGGTCTTTGGTGATTTCGTCAGTGAAGATTGCTAGAGATCCCTAACTGTTCCATTAATCGACAGTTATTTCATTATCAATCTATAGGTAGTTTCAAATATTCAATAGTAAGCAACAAGCAATGTATGATCTGATTTCATCACTTCAATACATACCATACTGTTTACAATTAAAGAAAAGATGGTAAAGAGTAAAAAAATACACTTGACAAGGCCAATTTACTCCTTTTACTGAAAAACCGAAAATGATCACAAACTTTATTTTTTTTAAGCGAAAAGAAAAAATAAACCCACAATTAGATTCTGAAGGTTTTTGTAAACTTCCAATTCTTTATTATTAAGATTATCAAAAGTGTTAACTTCATCATGGCTTTTAAGTTTTCGTTAATGATTTTTCACGATAAAGAATTTCGACTTTTGTAACAAATCGTGTGTTTGCATTTCCTGATATAACCATATTGGACTTATCAGTATAGGTTTGTGGAGATTGTTGACTTGTGATTGAGATCATGAGTTGATCAATGTTAGACCACAATTGAAAACCTGGAAGCATTGGATGACCATTTCGTCCTAGTATGGGACTTCTCAGAGGTGCGCACGACACCAAAGGTCGTAAGTTGGAATCTCGTGTGCAAGATCGTGGATATGCACTGCTTAGGAGTTCCATACTTAGACGAAACGGCCGTTCAGTGCTCTCAGATTTTCATTGGTAGTCTAGTATTGATCGGTTCATGATCTTAATATTGGACTTATTAAATGTCTGTTTCACATTTGAAATTCACGAAGTCTGTCTCGAATCTAGTCACTAGTCAATATTTCATTATTATTGTTATCATGTCATAGTTTCTTGTATAGAGATAAAATAGTTTTTTATCTTGTCATATTTATGTCTTTGTGTGCTGGATTGTAGAAACTAAATAGAATAAAAGAATAGTGATACTACACACTGGAAACAGTTTTTTTTTAAACTCAATAAGTAATATAGTGAAACAGCTCTAAACTGAAACTAGAATATGCCGGAATGCCTGACAAGATCAGTTTTTTTAAAACTAAAAAAATATCAAGGTATTGTAAATCTTATGAAAACTGTCATTTTTCAAAATCCAAGTTAGATATATTTGTAATCAATCTGAAGGATAATTTCTTGACATGATTAAACCAACAGGGAAGTCACTGAATGAGGCATTAATGTTGTTTTTTTCATTTAACGTTCGAATCTCTGGTAGACTATCATTTTCATCCAGCTTAGGGATAATCTTTACGGTTGACTTTCAGGTTACTACATCCTACTGTAATTTTTCAATCATCAATTATCAAATACAAAGAATTTTTATACAGATTTGATTTGTAATTTATTCATCGACAAAAATTGATTTAGTACGAGGGATAACAATAGTTAGTTTCGGGTAATTGGTTATAATAACGTAAATTCACATGATTGGTGACCATATAGATTGAATATCAACTACCATATAAAGCATAATTGTTCGATTCCATAATCTAGACTGAGCTCAAGACCGAAATACTTCGTGTATAGCATGTTGACTTGTGACATTTATAACTTGCTGATTGTTAATATCATTGGGGAGATCCAGGAAATTCCTCAAAAATAAGACATAAGGTGCTCTGAAAACGCTGTGAAACATATTATCCACTCAGTATTCAATAGATGTTGTGCGAGAAACATATAGACGGTGAAAAGTCACATGTCGTGTTTCTGATTGGATGATTACTTATATTGTTACTATATTTAATAGCGTTCTAGAATTTTCCAGAAGCCAAAGCCCTAGGTTTTCTGTACGTAAACGAACCTTGGAGTAAAGCATTTCTTGTATATTTTGCGCATTTTCTCTTGTGCTCAAGTTGCTGTGTAAACTTAGCCTAGGGTTTAATAAAGTGAATCTAGCCACAATCCAAAGATCCTTATAGATTCGAATATTTCAGTGCTAATTAATTGTAGAAAAAAGTACTTTGAATAAAGTGGTTCCTGTTGAGCATTTTCAATATTTTATAATGTTGATGAAACAGCCTCAACAAAGTTAATTAATACTGTGATAATAAACTTTCAGATAATTTCAGTTATTAAAATGATACAGAAGACCTGGATTTCAGGTGGTTACTTGTGGTATTGCTGAGTTTTCTAATCTAGATAATTCAGTCTCAATGCTTTCATTACCATACAGAAGAACATCATCACTGTTCATTTTTATGTAGAAATGAAACAAGATCATCAAAACGAAATGATTTTACACTTGCACAATATTAACAGTTGAATCCATGAGTCTATCTAAGCTAGACAACCATTGAAAACCTGGAAGCGTTAGACGTTTGTTTCTTCATAGTACAGGACTCCTCAGTAGTGAAATAACTAGAAATTTTACCTCTGTATGAAGTAAATATGAATAATATTGTCTAGAACAATAATAAAAGCTTCTCAGCTAAACCATCTAGTTCTGCTAATTCAGCAGTTTGTGTAATACAAAATGTCATTGTGATTTATATTAACAATTATATTTCATATATTAATGATTTAAAAAATGGTACAGATCTACTCTTTTTTCAAAAGCTTTCATTCATCGTTATTAATGTTACAGACACATTCATTCATAGCTTATCAGTGTAGATAATATATGGAGTGCAGGGAACTAGATAAACGATTCATAAAGGTCACATATTATGTTCTGATTGTTAAAAGCTAATCCATAATGCACCGTTGAATGGTATATGATCATCTATTAACTGTGACTGTTGACTGAATGCTATGTATTTATCGATGTTAGGTTAACAAAACTTGGATTCTTAGTGTATTGCTTAGCATAATTATCATTATAACTTTACTGATTATTAAAAAAAAACAAGAAAATAGGAACAACTAATCTTTGGAAATGTTATGCTGAGTATGCCTATAAATCAGTATTGATAGACTAGATATCTTACTGGGTTTTCTCTTTTTAACTCATCTCACCTCTTGAATAGTTTTCTGCTATAAACTAACGAATTTTTGTCTTTTCGATTTCTAAAAACTAATTTTATTTCCATACCATCATTAGTAACAGTTTGAGTTATCCTATTGTTAACATTCAGGATTGAATTTTGATCAGTTTTTGTTTATATATATGCATGTTATGCAAAGTGTTTCAATATAATCACTTTCATCACACGTCTTACAAAACAAATGGATTGTACTTAGTAGTGAAATACAGAATGTGCGTTATATCCTGTTTGGGACACATCAGGAACTAGATTATTGAGACCCTTACTAATAATGATGTGAAAAACATACTTATTGAATAATTTTAGGCTTTCTAGACTCAGTAGCTTGGTGTATTTAAGGCTTTGGCGTTCGAATCAAAAGGGACTAGATTTGAGTTTGACTACAGATATCAAATCTGTGTGACGCAGATACATCCAAATGACAAATTCCAGAAAGAGCGGAACGGGTGTCACGGATTCGCCTGATAGCTACAGTTCAATATTTCATTTTTATTTTGATCATTAGTTTCTGGATTTGAAATATTCTGTATGTCTGAATTTCAAAATTTACAGGTTTTTATAAAAGCCTCACTTATAATTAAAGTAGAAATCAGTGATATTGTCTAGAACGATAATTCGAGTTTCCCGAATAAATGTGAATACCAGCTTAAACTTTGGGGACACCATTTCCTCAAAAGCGTATTTATTGTCAGAACTGCTCCTCTGTTAAATATCTTCAAGAAATCGAATTTTTCTGCTAATCACTTGCAGACTTTCATTAAAAAGTCATTGAAGATCTAGTTACTGAGAGTTTCAAGGGTTACTACCGTGGTGACCTAAATATCTTCCTTTTCCTCTGCCCTTCAGAGAATTGAGAGGTTATTACCATCAGATTTATGAAATAAACATGCTAGGTTAGAAAGAGCGATATGGCAGCTGTGCTGATCGTAAACATTTATGAATCAATCTAGGTAGTAACTATTCACTGTTTATGAATAGCAGCCCATAATTTACTATTCTATCAATGAATTTATCTAATTTCCCTATAATTTGCTCTAATATATGAATGTCACGTTGAAAATTTGTTGAAATTCCTGTTGTCTTAACTAACTTTATATGTAATAGTATTATTACACACCATCATGTCAGTTACACAACTGACCAATCTAAATGTATACAGATGTTTATATTTATCTATAAACAAAATCAACAAATCAATTATAAATAGAATTATATGTGCAAACATGGATTCCACAGTCCGAATATACCAATAACTGAATAACAATTTCACGTTTAATATTTATAAATTATTTATAATTATTACAGATAGTTTATTATGGTATGGTTCAACAAGCTACTGGTGAAGATTGGGAAACGCGTTATATGACTTTATCGACTGCACAACCCGGTATAGGTGGTACAGTTCCACATTTAGGCGTACAACGAGTACATTTTCGTCGAGAGTAAGTACAGTTATTTTCTAAATATAAATATTATTCTGGTGTACCTATAGTTTTGTGTTGAATGTCACATCATGATCGGTGTTTCTTATTCATGTTTTCTTTTCGGTGTTGAGAAAAACGCATGATTTGTTAACGTATATATTCTAATGATTATTGACAATCTTGGAAACTTACATTCAAATTAATCATAACCATATTCCATGCACGCTAACATCCGCTTTATTGCATAACCTTTTTGTTGCATTACGCTTTTAACTACTTGTGAGTAGCCTGAAGTATTTGTATCAATTTTCGCCTACTCCTTTCTAAAAGAGAAAACTATAGCGTCAGATTGTGACGGAACTAATACACTTTAAATACGATTTCATAACTATTCCACAAAACACTCAAGGAACTAGTGATCATTCATCCTGTACTAATTTGTTTGGTTTTTAAAATTGAAATCCTTAGATTTATTTGGAAAGCTTCACCCATATTAAAACATCTCCGATTCTAGTCATAGTTCTATGTATACTAACTTGTTTAGCTAATATATTAGATACTTTTGAAAACTTTAGGGAGGAATAACTTCTGTTTAGTCAACGAAAGAAGTGAAATAAATACTCTAGATATAAACTAAAAATTAACATCATCTACGACCTGGCGCCGTGAGCAAAAATCAGTCTATGAAGAATAATAATCCCAAGAAAAATTCAGAAACCAATTAGTATGAAAACGAAACTTCTTACAAAAGTCACATATCAGTCCTGAATTCGAACTTTTATAGTTTGGGTACCCACTATTAGGGAATCACGCACAACGTTGAGGAGGCTGTTCAGTTTTCCATAGTTTCCAACGGTACCCTGCTAGAAATCATTCTGTGACGAACGCAACTTACAAGTTAAACCAATTTTCAAAAAAATTCCGGTTCACATATACTATTAATAAAACTTAACACCTTTCAGTGACAGAAGTTAGTTTCATCCGCTAATACGACAAAAAATCCAGGTCCATCACTAAATTTTAGCCTATACTGATATTAGCCTACTTCATGAGTCGTTTAAACGCAATTAATTAGTAATAAATGCGGTTTTTTCACTCTATTGCTTACATAACTTGTATTTTAACTCATTACATGTAAGTTGTCTATTTTCATCTTCTCTTAGTGAGCAGTGTATATTACCATAACTTAACAACAAATTTAGTTTAACAGCTAAGATTTCTGTCAAATGTAAATTTAATTAAAATCAATAAGAAAGTACATCTAGGTATGTACTATTATTAAGTCTGATCTTTAACACTTTATAGTCTATGCATGCATGATATAAATTTTAAATCAAATATAGCTCATGTTTTGTTACACAACTCTTTTGATAATTCCATTCATTGTATATACATATATACATATAGTCATTCTCCAGCAATCCCTATATCACGCAGTGCTATATCATCCACAAGTGTAACAACAGGCTACAATTCCAGTGGAATGACATCAACAACAACATTACCAGCATCAACAGGACACCAAATCTCTGGTGCATCTGCTACAGGAAAAAATTCTCGATCATGCACTAAACTAGGTGCATTTAAACGATCTAATCGAACACCAGGAACAAATTTAAATGAAATCGATCGTGGTGGATCTATGGATAATGAGGTAAAATTATTGATTCTTTTTCCTTAGTTTGTTTTCCTATCAATAAAATACAAAGTGATTTTTGTATTATTGAAGGAAGAGAATAAATTAAGGCGACAGATTAATTACACAATTTAGGTTCTGAATCCGTTTTAATGAAATCGTTAAATATCTTAACCATTGCTTATGTGTTTGTGTGTGTGGGGGTGTGTAAGAAAGAATAGTCTAACAAAATTGACACCTCTCTTTTATCATGCATTTGTTCGTACTTTTTTAACATAAATAATTCAAGTCTTAATTACTGAAGCTGTTTAACTAAAAATATACCTTAACCGTGTTATTCCGCTTTACCTGATTTCTATTGATGTTTTCCTGGGAAAAATTAAATTTAATGCTTTATTTTAAATGGTGTTATATGATTTGTTAATTTTGCATTACAAAGTGTGTTTGTATATGCACGTGAACCTCTGTAAAATTGCATATTGTCTCTTTCTAATCCTTTACACATCTAAGTCAGGAAGTAACACTCATTTTTTTTCCCAACAGAAAGGGCGATAATTTTGTTTACATCTGAAATATAACACTCTATTTTTAATAACTTACCTTCTTTCCTAACACCGTTTTGTTCCACATTGTCATCATCATCATAATTCTTCTTCTTCTTCTTCTTGTACTTCTACATTTTCGTATTCGGGTGATGTTCATCAATGCTCATCTGTATATCTTTTTACATCATATTAGCGTATCGCCTGATTCTAGTCGTCAGTTACAAAGTATAGACAAATCTAATTTAAATGAAAAAACATCTCGACTACCATCTGCTGGTACAATTCCTTCTTATTCTAAACGTATTTCTGCCAATGCAGCTGTATTTTATCAAACACCTCCATTGCAACGTTCCGATTTTACGCGTGGATTAAATGATAATATTTCATATGAAATGAGTGATCGTCTTTCTGCATATTATGACAATTCAACTGAATATTGCTCTACACTTGGACGAAGTGATAGTATGGCATCAACTACGTTGCATTCATCTCTTGGTCGTCGAAATAAACTACATCCAAGATCGAAATCACGTGAAACAATACGTACTATAACTCAGGTGTGCAGATCTTGTACACTGTTACATTATATAATGTGATAATTGTGTTTTTTGATGAATGTTTGTTAGTTACTCTTTCAGAGTGAGAAAATTATAAACATGTATAGTTTATATAGAATTGTATTATATACATTGGTTGATGTTATTTATCCAATTGTAGCTCATTGTTTGGGTCAGAGTGTGCGTTATAAACTATTTTAAAGTTTCGAACATGAGATCGAAATAACACCAAGCTATAAATGAAAATAATGATAATATTACTGATTTGTTAAGTATAAAACAATTTTGTGTACTTCCATTTGAATTACACTTTTTACATGTAACAGTTAGCTAATATTACTTAGCTGTCTATATTGAATTAGGTAAAGCTAAGTCCAGACCTGCAACTCCATTATTTAAAGGTTGAAAATTTCAATTATTATCTTTTCAGTTCACGCAAGTGTTTTTTAAAAAAAAAACCCATAAGATGTAAGATTATGTAAGAGAAATGAAATTTCTTCCATGACTCCTGATGACCTAATCATTGAAATTCAATCATTAATTTTTCATTTTCGTTATGGGAATTTGTGAAGATAGTGGTATTTTCAAAGTTGAATCCACGAGTTGATTTAAGCTAGACAACCATTGGAAACCTGGAAGCACTGGACGACCGTTTCGTTTTAGTATGAGACTCCTCGGCAGTGCGCATCTATGATCGTCTCATGAGTTCAACTGTGAAAATGCTACAATCCCCACGAATTCCCACGCTGATAATAGTCATGTACTCATTAGTGACTATCTTCAAGATAGATATCCTGAAGTTCTAGTGCAAATCCGTGACGAATGAAGTGCAATCTGTGTCGGGTGTGAGACAGTTACCGAAAACAATGGATGAAGGGTTGCGCAAGACCATGGATTGACCGAAGTTAGACACTACCATCGTTGGATGCCAGCTCAATGGTCTAGAGGTTAGGCGTGAGACGGAAGGTTGTGGATTGAAGTTTCACGTGCGGGGTCGTGGATGAGTACTTCTGAGGAACCCCAAACTAGGACGCATTATCCGTCCAGTGCTTCCAGGTTTTCAATAGTGCTCTAGCTTAGATAGACTCGTGAATTCAATTTTTCATTCGTCAAGGAAAGCATACCAAACTGAAGTTAATTTAATCTTTAGTAATGATTAATATAATTAATTTATTACACATTAACATTTATTTATAGACTGACTATGACTAATTTAACCTACCACATACTTTATTCATACCGTTAAACAATGTATGATGTATATGTCTGATTAAGTAAGATTTTATATTTTTATATTTAAACATTGATCTATGAAGTGCCTTTTTTCTGCCGCTAAATCTATTTAAATCATGAACTATTTGAGAAGCTGACATTTATATTCAATACATAATGGTTATTTTCATAATAATATTTTGGTTATGAATGTTAAAATAAGTACAGTTTACTGTTTGGTAACCAATTTCATGCTTTTCTTTCTTCAGTGCTAATCAAATTTCAGTATAACCACTAGTCTGAGTGATTCCATATCTTGTGCACTATATTTCAATGATTGGTGATTAAAATTAGTTTACAGAAAACACTGGGCCTGTATTACATACTAGTTGTCATCCTTGTCTAGTCTTAACAGAACTTGACTAACTGACACAGGATATGAGCAAATACAGTAAAAGAGGTGTAAATCTAATTTACTAACAAGGCTTTATCATTTAAATAGTGTTATCTCATGAAAATTAGTGCTTCTGTTCAAATGATTGAAAACATGGAGACAGTAAGGAGAATTAAGTGAAATAATACCGGAAATAATTAACTAACGAAAAGATCGAGAGAATATCAGAAATAATTTTACTAGATGCGGTCATTTTCAAATATAATCGCATCGAAAATGAAAATAATGATGACATAGGGTTTAGGTCAAGATAACAAGCAAAATGAGACATATTTTTTCCGTACGGAGATCTCATCCAGATCTCATAATACGGATGGCGGAATGCTTGTGTTATTTGAAGGAATTCGAAATAAAGTTTCAATAAATATGATACAGAATAAGGGGATAGTTTTCCAGCCGTCTTAAGGTTGGCTAAGCCTTATCCGATGAAACCGATTGGGTTTTTTGGAAATGGCCTCAGTTTTTCAAGGCTCAGAAATCCACTGCATGGATGTAATTGTGTGGGGAAATCGTTATTCCCAGGTCTTGACTCGTGGGCGTCTACATGCATACCAGTAACACATAAGTTTTCACTCTTGGATCTCATAACATACATATACTTATATTCACCAACCTAGGAGGGTAGGTGGTCATCACTCTCTTTTAACGCATTTGCTACAGCTGACTGTCACTTACGCATTATATGCATATCGCTGGTATAATGACTTTGACACTTGTACTTCATGACATGTGCATAAGCGTAAGTGCTCTTTCATGAAGGGTTGATGGTCACCTCTTCCTATTATTCGTTACCATACCTTTTTATTAAATTTTTGACCTCATGCATTAGGCTGCTGGTTTTATTATAAATAAGGCAGACATTTTTTAGTTCACATTCCTCGTGTCATCCCAGGCACATACCATTTGAATATGCCAATATACATAAACCTCATGCAATTCATATACATAAGCATTAAACATCGGGCAGCCCGTAGGACTTTTGGTGAGCCCTGAAAAAAGGGAACCAGTTAATCCAGTTTACAGCAGAACAAAGAATTAGCCTGATCTCCGTCGACCGCCCAAACTAACTAGCAAGGTTGCCCTTATTGTCTAGCAGCGCCGCGGGGAGATTTTAGATCGAATTTTGCTGCCGATATATAAGTATTCTAAATTTAACCATTTATCTTGACATACTCATATATCCCTGATATGTAATGAACTGTTTATTTATTGGGTTATATGGTTATTTCTATAGCTATGCTTAATAAATATATTTTGAAAAGTTCAAGCGGTTGGCAACGATATTTTTGCTGTTGTCGTTAATAGATCCGGTTATTTTGAATTTCTTTAAAAATTATCTAATTTTGTTTTGTACAGTATCTTTCTTATGCTGTTTAAATTGTCATTTCTTCTTTAAATAACTTTGGTTTTAAATTGTAACGTCGACTTTTAAATTTGATAATTGTTCATTTCTGTGTTTATTGTATTCTTATTACTAATAGTTATGCTTTGAATTATTAATTACTTATTCAAAGTTATTTCCCGCTCAATTCATTTCATTTGGTAGTCAATGCGTAATCGATTTCTTTATTGAATTTAAAGACCTACGAAAAACAAAAGGGGTTCATTTAAGTGTTTACTCGATTGGTTTTTTTAATGATTATTGATTAGAGATCGTTTATTGTATTAGAGATTGATTAATGCACTTACTATTATTATTATTATTTAGTTATTGACTTATAAATCGTTCACGCATTTGAATGAAAGAACAGAATAATTTATTGATAGATTACATCTAGAATAAGATAGTTGCGCAATATCATCGATTATTTGAACTTAGACATTAACATCGTTAGATGTAGGCTCAGTGATCTAGAGGTTAAGCGTTCGCGCGAGAATAAAGGTCTCACGTGTGGGATCGTGGATGTACACTGATGAGGAATTCCATAGTAGGACGAAATGACCATCCAGTGCTTCCAGGATTTCAGTGGTAGGCTAATATTGATCAGTTCATGATCTCAATAAAATAGAATAGAAAGAACATATTATTTTTTTTAAATTTGATTTTGTGAAAGGCTAATTTATTTCAAATGAGTATAGATTTAATAAACGGTAAAATTTTTATTTAAATCAAAACAAAATATAGAGTGGTCGATGGTAATTGGTAAGAAACTCTAGACATAGATTTCAGATTAGTCAGTACTCGACGTCAAGGTATATCTCTGATCTTGAGCGAATTCATGCTCTCTGGTAGATTTAAATACTATTTAGTACATCTTACAGTCTAAGATATGGCCACCGAGCTATTCGAACAGCGACTAACTTCCTGTAGGACTGAGGTATTTGCATTAATTAGTAGTTGACAATATTATTTTAGTTTAGTCTTTGATGATAAAAGAAATATATTGTGAAAAAGTAAGTAATAAATTAGGTAATGTCCAGTGTCTTCTGACTTTCAATTGTTTTACAGCTAAATGACAATTTCAAGCAGAAAATCACTTTCGAGCTGAAGTAATTTTAACTAAACCATCAACTAAAGTTTCAACTAATTGCCTCATTATTTATTTATATAACTATTAAGAAACACATTTTTTAATCAGAAAGAGGGTTTTGTGGAGATTGTAGTGATTTTAATAGTTGAACTCATGAGCCAATTAAAGCTAGACCACCATGGAAAACCTGGAAGCACTGGACGGCCATTTCGTCCTAGTATGGGACTCCTCAGCAGTGCACATCCACGATCCCGCGAGCGGGATATATATATATATATATATATATATATATATATATATATATATATATATATCGGACAGATGAGTTGGTAAAGTAATTCTTAATAAACAATCAATGATTAAATTACATAAATATTTTCCTTAATTACATTTAGTAAAAAACTTATATGACTTAAGTATACACTTCATTAAAATATATATTATTATGTCACTTTTTTGGGAAACCTTATGTTAAGGCTTAATTGGTACAACTGCTTTAATAAAATACGAAATCCATATGCTGAATATTTTATTCTAACATCTTCCATCAGTTGTCTTTCACATTCTTCATGATTCGATTTCGCTGTTATTACAATTGTTCTCTGTTTCCATTCCTTTTTTCTTCAATTCAATCTTTTCTATCTTCTGCTAACACACATTCCACTTCCGATTGTTGCTCTATACTACATATATCTGTTAACATAAGTAGCATCCACCACAGTATTGCTTATTTATAATATCATAGAGGTTTTTTGTTTTAATAAGTTAGTAAAATTCATCATGTACAAAAACTGGTTATTTGATTATAGGAAATGAAATAATGCTTTCATTCTCTTATAATTAGCATTACGACGGATACAAAGGCCATGAAATAATGTACCTTTATACATGCCAAAACATACGACCAGGTGAATAAAAATACCATAATTAAGGTTGTGAGCAAAGATGGATAATGGCTAGCAGTGGAATCCAAGACCCGCGTTTCGTCCTATTTGGGACTCGTCAGCCAGATGTGCCTGCATCTCACTATCCATCTTTGCTTATAATGGCTGTGAATTAATGCAATATCGAGGCAGTGCTCACAGTATGCACATATGCCAATAAGAGACCAATGAATTTCATTCCTAAACATCAATGGGAAGATTCAAGTAAACAATACTAAGTGAATTTGAATACTTCAATCATTAAACAAATGCTTCATTCATTGTAACATACTATTCATTAACACTAATGAATCTGCAATAAATACTTGAATATAAATGAATCTGTGAATTATTGAATTAGAACTTGAATATTTTATTACTTCTTAAGTTCAACAATTTTATGACTGCTTCACTACTATTGGTTCATAATCTATTTGTTTAACGAATGTAAATTGAAGTTAGAAATGAGAACAGTTATGTACTAACATAGAAGTCTAAAGGTTAAGTCCTAACCGCGTAACCTGAAGGTTCTGGGTTCAATTCCTAGTTGCTTTTGTATATGTACATTGCTTGGGTGTTGTTTAGTGCTTCCTAGTTTTCCATAATTATCTAAAATAGCTCAATCCTTGATGTAAACTATATAATTCGATAGTCTTCACAAACTTCTTTTACATAAATGTTTCACATGTTATCGCACTCCTAATAATTACCGAGTTACTACTTTTTGTTTAACCATATAATTTAATTTATATGATATGGACATTAAGTAATTACTATGTTTATGTAGTCTTTAATCAAACTGAAAATTAAGTTAACTGTTTGAAATGATTATGAATGGGAATGAATAGGAAGAAACAATTGAATACAATAGATGAATTATTATAAAATAGACAGATATATTATGTTAGTTTACTGTAATGTTGATCTCCAAGGAAACGCTATATACACCAGGTCTTAAATATTCTTTTAAACGATTACTTACACTTTATATAGTATGTAAATGGAAACTCATTGAAAATTCGACTAAAAAGCTTTATATGGTCGTGATAATATGAACCTTAATTATGAAATTCCCAATATTTTTAAACATTTACACGATGTATGAATATTTACCATTTTGGATAACAGTAGTAAAATGATTTAGTTAAACATTTGCTTTGAATATAAGTGAAATGAACGAATTTTTACTGAACAGTTTTTCCAATAGTATCCGTATTAGAAGGACTAATTCTGTATCATTTTTATTGTAAGTTAAAATTAGCAAATAAAAGTAACGTTGACAAAATCCATAGGAGAAAGGCTAGTAATCATTAAGTTTACGTAGTAGATCAAAAGGTTAATACAAGCTGTTTTTTAGTACTCAGTTATTAGGACCGTAGTTTGTAGTTAAATGCAGTAAATATTATGGTTACTTAATATTTAGAATTTTTGTCTCTTAATAAACAACTTGACACACAAACTAAGGTTTACATCATTATATTAAGATAAAGTAATATACGTTATCAATAATTTTTCTACTTCTCACTTTATTTTCAGCGTGATGGTATCACACCATCTGGAACACTGCAACGTGGTGGTAGTATTGAAAGTACTTATGCAACTGGATTACGTTCCTCTAGCACTAGACCTATCAGTAGACGTACATTAGGATCAAGTATGTTGTTCAACTCCGTCACTTCTCAGAGTCCTTTGTTGTCAAATCGAATTTCTACTTTAATGAATTCACAACCTGCACTATTGCCTACATCACAACAATCTGCACCGCCTGTTGGAACAGTTGCAACGATACAACTGGAGGTCCCACGACCCCCGGCAATAATTCGGTGTGATAACGAACCTAATCGTGTCACTGTCGGGTTGTTAGATTTACAACCACGTTATGAATACGTAACTGTGCCAAAGCGTTCTTTGTATGCTTATTTGAAAGCGACAGCCGTGAACAACACGGAGTTTTCTATCTTGGCTGGTCCAACTAACATATATGCCGATAATACTTTTATTGGAAAAGTAAGTCATTTATTACTATCTTTGTATTGGTATTATCAATTATATCCCTAATATCATATATTTTATTGTGAAGACCTAATACCATAGGTCATTCTGGGATTGTGGAGAATATCTATAACTCAAGATGAGGATTTTGAAGTTGTATTGTTCTCTGAACTGGATGGTTTAGTCGTGAATATTTCATTGTCTCTCTCGATAAAATCATCAGTAAACATTAATAGAAAGTAAGTTTTCCGAATTTCGCCACAACTGAATAGCTGTTTATTCTGTTGACTTAGAATTTGGTTACTTGTTGTTCATATATGTTTGACCATTGTTTATGTGTTTGTTTTGATCATTTTCACTTCCAACCTGGTCTTTGAACTTAAAGACATTGAAATTTAAATAAAACTCGTCGAGTGGAAAAAATATAAACAACTCCAAGGTCATAGGTCAGTCTGGAGGTGAAAATGATCAAAACAAACATATATGGACAACAAGTAACCAAATTCTAAGTCAACAGAATAAACAGCTATTCAGTTGTGGCGAAATTCGGAAAACTTACTTTCTATTAATGTTTACTGATGATTTTATCGAGAGAGACAATGAAATATTCACGACTAAACCATCCAGTTCAGAGAACAATACACCTTCAAAATAGGTCAATCTTTCAATTACTACTTTGAGTCATGACTGGTTGCCATTACTACTGTTTACAGACAAATTCTATTTACGAGCGGATAGCATTCTTTGTCACCAAAGATTCAAACAAAAATCACTGGAATATGCGACTGTAAGTTTACAGGAAACTGTAGTAATTAACGCTCTCACTGAATAGTAGCCACTTTACTAGTTGTCAAACCTGTCTGTGAAGTGGTCATCAATCAAATCACCTTACTCTTGTGCAATTATCAATGCGATATATATGGCAATTCCACATGCTAATCATAGATCACCACCCGCCTAGTTGTGACAGCGGACATCACGATTAAAAGGTTAAACCATAATTGGCAACTTTAGTTTTTACATTATTTACCTACTTAAGCCTGTTAGCCCTGGTGGAGCATGGGCTGGCGACCGGGATTTTCCAACCGACTATGTCCTCCACTCTCCATTTCAGTTGTTGTCAAGTAATATTCATTCTTTTAATGCCTGCCTCTAATTCCCGCCACAATGTGCTCTTCCATCTCTCTTATTTCCTTTAGTCTCATTTAGTGTTTGTGATACGGTTTTATGATTTCCCTGATGTATGTCCTATCTGCCTCCAGGAACTTTTCTTAATTTTGTCTCCACCTGGAAGCTGGTTTTTTCTCTCCCACAGTGGACTGTTGCTGATAACACCCAGCAAGCAAATCTGTAGTATCTTGAGTGGACAGCTGTTAACAAATACCCGTACTTTTGATGATGGTTGTAGTTCTCCAAGTTTCCACTCTGTACGATAGAACTGTCTAGGCACTTGTACTGAGGACTGACTTTGTTGACTGTAAGTTTTTTTAAGTTCCTTATGTTCTTCAATCATCGGAATCCTGCTCCTACTTTGCCAATCCGTACCTTCATGTGTACATCAGATCCTCTTACTTATGAATGGATGATTGTGTTGATGTCCATCATGTCCTATTTCACCACCTTGCTTTTTCCCTTGTGAATTTTAACGTCTACTTCTGAAGAGCCTGCTACTACACTGGCTGTCGTCACCTGTATTTGTTGCTGTTCATGGGATAGAAGAGCTAAGCCATCTGCAATGTCCAAATCGTCTGGCTTCATCCAAGCCGCCGATTGTATTCATGCTTTTTCCGATATGTGGAGGTCTTCATAATTTAGTCAACCACCAGAATAAAGTAAAAATGCGAAAGTATACAGCCTTGTTTGGCATGGATCCTCATTTAGAACGCACCTGTCAGCTATCCTCCATGCACAACATTGCAATGTAGTCCGTTGCATGAATTCTATATGCTGGTGACCATCTCAGGTACACCATAGTATCGAAGAAGTTTCCATAATGTTCTTCTATCCACACTGTGAAATTCTTCTTCACGGTCAAGGAGGTTGGTGTATAGTGACGAGTTCCACTCAACTAATTGCTCAACAATGATCCTTAATGTTTCGATTTGGTTTGAACATTTTTGCATCTTTGCAGTTAACTCTATGTCTGACTTAAGCGCTTCAGCTGGTATGTTGTCTAATCCTGATGATTTTCCTTTGTTGATTTGTCTGATGGGTATGCTGATTTCTTCGATTATTGGTGGGATAACATCTACAGTAAGTTCTGTGGGGGGGGAATCGATGTCCAAGATGTTCAGTGGAGCTGATCTACTCAAGAGTTCTTTGAAGTGCTCTAGCCACCTGTTCCGCTGCTCTTAGATCTCAGTGATTGGCTTGGTTTCTTTTTTCTTGACTGGTCGCTCTCATTCACCAAATTCCCTAGGTAGTTTTTTCGTTGTAATGTAAAGTTGTTTCACATTCCCTTTTCTTGCAGGTCTTTCCGCTTTGATTGCTAGGTCTTTCACGTACTTTTGCATGCAAGTTCTAATGCTCCTGAACAGCGCTGAATTGATTGAGTTTATCAGAATCTGAAAGAAAAGTTGTATTAGACATTTGTAATGCTGTTTGAGCAGCTGTCCAGCACTTTTTAAGTTCCAGGTTTAGCTTGGCCACCCCTGTGCTGATCTGGAGCTATATCAGTTTCTTGCCTTTTTCCTACATCCTTCATGAAACTTATGTAACTTAGTGTATGCGTTTATGCGGGAATGTGATGCCATCTGTAACCGTTTCGTCGAAGGCACATAGATTCGCAAATCTCTCACCACTCTGATTTCTTTCTGAGAATACATGTTGTCCCATGATGTCTTCATACCCGATTGTGTCCATTCCGACCTTGGAGTTTAGGTCTTCCAGCAGGATGGTCAGATCATATCCTGGGCACTATTCTACAATCGACTGCAGCCTCTTGTAAAGCTGATCTTAATCATCTTCATTGTTTTCATTGGTGGGTGCATCGCACTGGATAACGTTCATCATAATAGCCTTCCTCTTTGTTTTGTAGGACACTTTGTTGATCCTGGATTCATGAGATTCCTATCTTATAAGTGCTTATCGTGCTTCTTTGGAGGGTGTCAGTGCAACTTCATGTGTGTACGAAGCTTCATCTTCTTCATGACCAGAGTGCGACAGAACTTTTCTCAAAGCTGATCTTATCTGTCGGCTTCCGTTCAATGCCCTTCACTTATTTCGAGTACCAACAGTTTGTATGTTTTTCATTTCTGCAGCTATTTGAATAGTCCTCCAAGTTTCCCACATTGTCCGGATATTCCACTCACCTATGTGAATTGTTGCTCTGGCTGTTAGAAGGGGCATAGGCGTCGTGATTTCATGAGAATATCGTCTTTGACTATGAGGTGTTACAACTCGGCTACATGAAGACTCACCAACCCCATGAACAAAGTGTAAATGGTTGATATGACCTTTCTAGTTAGCATTTTTTTCTTGACAAGATTGTTTTCTGTGGGATGGAGTTGCTAACCCCATGTCCATGGGATCGTCAATAAGCCCAGAAGATCGATATGCAGAGTTATTTTTCACATAATAAAGCTATATTATTTGAAAATGTTTCATTTGCACCTCATTAGGATTAAATGAGTTCTGTAAATAAATGTGATTTTCTTAAAAATTTTCTTCTTAGTCTGAAATACGTGCTGTCGCTCCAGGCGAAGAGTTTAATTGTCACTTAGGCGCTGAGAATGGTATAAAAATACTGTATCGCCCATTATTCAAATATCGTGAAGGTACCGGTTCGAGTGGAAAAAATGCTACAATGACATTTAAACAATTAATTGAAGTACGTAATACATTTGATCGTCGTGTGCGTCTAATGGTTGTTGATCAAGTTCCAGTCAGTGCAGAGGATAAAATTAAAGTAAGAATTTCATTGTCAACTTTTTTTAACTTTTAAGATTCTTTCTGCTTTTCATCCCTGTTTTGCTTTTTCCTAATTTTTTTCAGAATAATTCACTTTATTTCCTTACTGCCTATCAAATATCAATCATTTGAGTAATTTTATTAAAACCACTGATAAAAACAATCGTAGTTGGGTCATGTAAGATGTTAGCTTTAACAATCGTGATATGTTTGGTACTTGAATACTTGAACCCTACTTTCCTACCACTTCCTAGTCCAACCCAGAAAATTCCGTACACCTGAGCCCCAAACTGAGGATAAGAGAAGTATAAGTAGAAGTTCTATATATTTACAGTTATGAAAATAACTTCGTCCCAAACTGTTACTCATGTTTCTTAAGACATTACTATGATAATTTGTAATCCAAATTGATATTAGATAGTTTTCTCTTGATTAGCTAGGATAGAACATTTCCTAATTGTAATGACTATAAATAACCAGTATTTTAAAAATTATCCTCTTGTATAACTTGTTGTAAGTCTCGTTTTTCATGTTCAAGTTGTTATAAAAGTGACTATCCACAAAGAGATAATGTAGATATATTTTATAAAATAAGCTTAAGTGTTGACCAACTTTCAGGCTTTTTCTCATGTCATATTGTTTACAATGGTTTGTCTATGCACTATAATCTGAATGCCTAAAGTATATTTTTTTAATTTTCATTGGAACCCAAACCCTAAAATTTTAAGTTAGGAACCCAAAAGCCCAATTCAATTACCTAGGGTCATTGATTCTATGTCTTGATCCTCATTCTAGTTCTACGGTTGTAGATATGACAAAATTGGTATTTTCATAGTTCACTTCATGAGTTGATCTAAGCTAGACCACCATTGAAAACTTGGAAGCACTGGACGGCCGTTGTTTTTTGCTAGGGTGGTACTCCTCCAGTGCTTCCTGGATTTCAGTGGTGGTCGGTGGCGTCCATCGGTTCATGATTCCAATGAAATAATACCACGATTAAAGATGTTTCAATGTAGAAAATTATCTTTTCGATGGTATTATTTCACATGGTAGCTTAATATCAAATAGAGGAATTTCATTTCATTGAAAAAATTTATCGAAGGTAACTGAACTTTTTCTGGTATACAATATGATAATCTATCAAAAAATGAATAGGTATTTCATTAGTTTTTATAAAGCAGTCAAAAATTAGGAATAGTTTCCAAGTTATGTAATAATCTTAGAAGTAATAAATAATCATAATTTAAAGAAAAGAAATACGAGAAATGATTATCTACTTTAAAAATATAAACGTGAACAATAAGATAATAATTAACACTAACAAATTTTAAAAAAACTATAAGCTAGTACTAAGATCATCGTAGAATAAGGGATTGAACACTCTTCTGTACACAGGGATGAGATATGGATAATGGTTTGTCAAAACTACAACAGTGTGCAAGTTTTTAAACTGAACTTTGTTTTTGATTGAGATCATGAACCGATTGATATTAGACCACCACCTTTGGAAACCTGGAAGCGCTGAACGGCCGTTTCGTCCTATTGTGGGACCCCTCAGCAGTGCGCATCCACGATCCCGCCCGCGGGATTTGAACCCAGGGCCTTCGGTCTCGCGCGCCGAACGCTTAACCAACCGGACCACTGAGCCGGCATCCAGTGGTGATAGTGTCTAACATCAACCAATCCACGAAATTGCGCGGCCAACTTCCGTTGTAGATACCTGTCTCTACCTGACATGGATTAGCTCCACTGGTCATGGCTTCTCACTAGAACTCCGAGAAACGGCCGTCCAATGCTTCCAGGTTTCCAAAGGTGGTGGTGTAACATCAATCGGTATATGATCTCAATCAAAAACTTAATAATCTCCACAAACCCCATACTAGTAATTGAACTTTCTTTGAACAAGTTCTTTTGACTTTCTAGATAATATTGAAGAATGAATCTTGTAGCAGTACGTGACTAGGGTTGACCATATGTTCTAGAATTACCCGTCAACGACATGAGTTTTTTTTGTAATAAAATATTATTGAATAAATAAATAAATAAGATTGTTTCCACAATATCATTTATTTCCCATTTTAATTGTACACTAATTAGGTTAGCCTTTTAGAGCCAACAATTAAACATCCAGAAAAATATGATAAAAATAGACCAATCAGAATGAATAAATTCAATAATGTTGAATGGGACTTGGATCTAGGTCCAGGTGAGTTAAATTTTTAAATAATGTCATTGTAAACTTAGGAATTTCTAATAACTGTATTGAAATTCAGATTAGATTTCTTCAATTACTCTCTAGTTTGCAATATATACTTTACTTCATGTTAACATATTTGAATTCTAATCCCTTAATCAAAGGGTTGGTTCACTAATCAATAAACTATTATAAATCACAAAGTTACATAATACAATGTGGCTTTCAGAAATTGTGAGTGGATAAGGTTAACAGGTGATTTCAACGTAGAGAGTTATGAACCAGTTTACAATTGATTGATCATTGGATAGTAAACAATGTCAATTTTTGTAGTCCTTTGGCGTTGATTGAATTCTGTTGATCAAGTTTTAATTGAGCCACTATTCTGAGTGACTCGAAATTGTGTACACTATATTTTAATTTTATTCATTTGAATGAAGTTGGTTGGAAGCTGGATAAAATTGATCCAAACTTCACAGATAATATAAATTCCCCTAAAAAGTGCTGATACACCTCCCTGACTAATGACAATTATCGTGAAATATATTTCCAAGGTTTCATACCAACTTACCTTCAGTCATCTAACTTATGAACTAGTGTTTATAAATCATCTTCTTTGCCCAAATGATTTTGTAAAGATATTTCGTATAACTTGAGGATAATTTTCTTCACGAATCGACGTTAGTTGTGGGAATAACAATAAGCTACATAAGGTTCCAAAATGGAAGTTGTGGATTCAAACAAATTGAAAGTAAGTCATTCATAACACTGGAAAAAGATCATTCCTTATCATGAATTGATTGAATCTGAGAACAATTGGATTTCAACTCAGAGTTTTTATATTAGACTGTGTTTAAAGATGTCAGTAATTACTGGTGAGTAATTTCAAAAATGGATTTAACATCTGTCCACTGTTGTTTAGTCCCAGTAGTTGCATAGCTAAAGTCAAATCGTTATAAATACCATATTCAAAATAATCTTTTATATTTTCCGTTTAACCAATACAAAGCTAATTTACAATTATTAATAATTTAAGCTCATTTAAATTCACTTCTCTCTATGCAATGGTTTTATTAAATCATATTCAAATTTATTAAGCAACATAACCTGAATAATCATACCCACTCTAGATGTGTGCTCAAACGTCTATTATATGTAATAATTATAGAGCTATTTTACTAGTTGTATGGCTGATGTACTCAGTTTTGAAACACATTTCTGTGTAAGCTAATGATATCACATGAACTTGCTAACCTGAATTAGAACGGACGTGATTTGAACTTACAATATACCAATTAAATGGTAAATATTTTAACCATTAAGTCACCAAAGGTGCTTTTGTTTTACATAATAATCAGTAATTGCGATAAATTGTAATAAAATTGTATCTGAAATATGAATACTATAAATTTTGTGTGAACATTTTGATGGTTAATCTTTGAAACTAACTTACACTGTTGAGTTTCCAACTGTTGTCTCATTCTGTAATATTTTCCTGAATAGAACGTTATAGATATTAACTTATCCATCATAAAACTAATGAACTATATATTTTGATCATTCATTTCAATTATAAACCACCAGTGAAGAAACGTCGTAACTATCCCCAAGTATGCTTCATATGTATATATTCAAATGCGGATATCAGAGATGCACACATTACAGTGATATAAGTAATGGGCATAGATGGGCACAGTTTCTAGTATTTTTTACATGTAATAATAGAAAAAGCAGACAAGTCCATACATCCCGTAAATACATCTAGACACAGAAGCTTCCACTCGCGAGTGTACGACACATGCACATATAGAATGCATAAGCCTAGGTTCATACACTCCATTGTATACACATCGGCATAGATACGAACGTTCCAGGCCCCTAAGCCCAGCAGCATTTTCACTGAGTGAATATCGAGTATTGAAGTCAGTATGTAAATAGTTCGTCATAAACGATGTACTCACTTAACGCTCTTACCACAATCCTATTTAGTGTCGACTAGTGTGCACTGATTACGGCACAGCTTATGGTCTACTCTTTGCCCTCCCCTACCAGACCTCGTAGGCCCTTCCAGACTAGTCTTTTCAGGCAACAAGAGAAAACGTTTCTCCAATGCCTCAATCGCACTCCCGATTCATGTCGACTTCTCTTCTCATGTAATCAAAATTAACACACAGTGGGTGATTATCCTGATTTCCATCTGACTGCGGATTGGTTGGTCGGTTCGATCTCCACCGCGCCGCTTGCGTTAGTTCATGTTGAAAGAGATCATCCACAATCCATTGAGCACTACGTGGAATCGCAAGTCGGACTTTGTCCCCCCAATAGTATGGTGCGCTGTAATGAATGTTGGATATTCGAAAACACTGCCCATGAATCAATGAATTTCAATCTATCCCATTCTTTAACTGACATGGTTAACATGGTTTTATGATTTTCAGCCTTTTATATCCTCACTAAATTATAGATTCTGATTAAAACAAGTTTTCCTCATACCAATCAAATCAAAGACTTTCAAGTTAACCATTAATACAAATGACCGTTAGAAATTAATTGACCTACTCAGCTCAATGATAAAAGGTATGTGAATAAAATGCGTAATAAAAGGAACATTGTCAGCGTAATTAAAGATCAGAAATTTTTGTAAAGTGAAACGAAACGAATTGTAAATCATGAACGGGGCAAGACAGAAATAAATAAATAAATAAATAGAGGGTTTGACGAAATTATTTCTTGGGATTTTTAAAATATTTTACTGCAACATATACTTTTTTTTCCTTTGCCTAGGTGAAATTCGTGAATTAACACTGAAATATTCAGTGGAGCATCCAATCAATGAAGATTTAGACGTTTCTGTTTCTGAAAACTAAAAAAAATAGCTACAAACTGGAGCATATTCAATTGTTACAATATACATTTGGGTTTTCATTGTAGAAGGGGAAAGGGAATCTGGGATTTTATCAAACGTATTCCTTTCTGATTTTTCTCATTTTATTATTATTATTATTATAATCATTGATTATTGGTAATTAAAATATTGATAATAATAATTACTATTATTATTACCATTATTATTACTATTATTAGCATTATTATTGCTTGACAGTTTATTTCAATTTCTTTTCGGTGCTTTTTCGCATTATTTCTATTGAAATAGCTTATGCTTCAATGATTTTGTTGTTGTTGTTGTCATTTGATACTAAGGGATCCAGTTCGATTGATACTATTCATTTCGAATACCCACTTCTACATTATACTAAAAACAAAATAATAAAAACTCATTTTTAATAACCGAATGATATCAGCACACATATACTAATTATTATACAAATAAATTGGAATGGAACTAGTCTACAATTGCATAACAATAAACACAGTAACCATGATAGCAACTAAATGGTATATTATTGATTTCTAAAAAAAGAAATTATCATCGGTGTTTCAATATGGTTATTAACTTTTTTTGAATGTTCAATTTTGTTCTGTTGTTTTACGCATAGTACTAACATATTTTATTTTATTTTATATTCTTATATATAAAAATTAAATTTAAATTTTACCGCTTGTTATTTGTATTGCTTTAAAGGGTGATTATTATTATTATTATTATTATTATTATTATTATTATTACTGACGTCATTACTATCTACTATTGTCTGCCCTACAACTGTTGTGGCACTGTTTATATACAGTGAATTAATTAATCTACAATCCTTGATGTAATATTACGTCATCACAACTAATTAAAACAATCTTTCTATGCCCTAGATCTACCTGTTTACACTGTACGCTGGAGGTAAGTTTATCACAAAAATCAGTGACACAGACACTTAAATCCAAGCAATATAATATCAACAAATAATAGATTACAGCTTTATATGCTGACTATTGATTTCGTGGGACTACTCTATTTGTCAATTATTTCATTCATTGAGTTTGAGTGTATAAGGGTGTGTGTGTGTGTCAGCAAATAAAGACATTAGAAAAAGGATTAGAGCTCTGTCAGTGTTGTTAATGTCATGGTTTATGTTAATTATCTATTCGTCATGAAGTTGTTTTTTTTCCAAGGTTACGGACGTATTTTACTATTCTGACCATTATGAATATTACTACTGTTATTATTATTGTTATTATCGGTATTAAAATATTTAATGATATTATTATTATGAGCTGCTTTGAAAACACTTAATAAACTAATCAATTTGCCTGATAACTTTCAATCTGTTGTTGATTTCTTTGAGAGGTTAGATAATCCAATTAAGAGACGAGTTTATCAGAACCATGTAACGAATCAAATAGAGTGATATATTTCGAACAGCAATTCGATCATGCATAAACTTGTCCATAAAACATCATTGAAAAATATAAACGTCAAACTAAATAAATTGGGAAATAATTAAAACCAAAGGTAATTGATAAAAGTAATGTAAGCCACATCACTCTGGATAGTAAATTAATATTAGCAGATCATGTTTGATGTTAGTATAAATGGTTTTTGAACATTCATGGAACTGGGTGGCTGGAGATTTTCATATTGTTTAGGTTTCAACAAACCTCAGTATTCGTTCTAAACAATTTTAATTGAAAACCCTGAAAGCCGAGTTAAGATCATCCTTATAACCAGTTTCAAATGTGTTTGGAAATGGACGAATGTGGGTATTTTTCATCGGTTTGTAGATCATTTACATTATTCGTGTTAAAAATCATTTTGGTACATTTTCAGCCACCTAAAGTTGAAAGTCACGATTTATTCTACATATGTCTGATTCCTTGAATTTTGATCTTAAAATATTTCTGGTTTTAGAAACTTAATCTATTTTGAAAGATCGTCAAATGTTCACTATATGTAAATATCAAACCCTTGATATTTCCCAGAGTTAAACCAAGGTTGAAGTCAGATAAGAACACCAATGGCCTTCTAGTTATAATTTAAAAAATCTGCTGAACATGTATGTCAGTCTCGTTAATCAAATAGTTTTCAGACTGTCCTTCAGGGTAGCGAAAATCGTTTTGTTTTGCCGTAAAAAAACGCTGATCACTTATACTCGGAACGAGGGACCACGGCAATTCCCGCGATGCGAAAGTAAGAACACGAGACTGGTATAAATGGAGATTTATTAGCCCCAAAAGATTATGACGACGACAAATCAAGATACTTTAAAATACACTGGTTTATATATTGATTGTACACCCATTTTTATTATTAATTAGGATGAAATCACATGCTCAGTTATAACAAATCACTTACAGAGCATAGTTCATGTCAAGTGAATACAAGAATATCGTATATTATAGAGAAGGAAATATCACACTGAGAAAACAACTCGAATACTACATTAAATGATCCTCACGTTGAATCAAACGGATGTAATGCTGAATAAAACTCATAATGAGTAATTCAATCGAAAATTGACTTTTCTTTCCATCATATCAAGCAATAATTAATCTACTGGGTATAACTCGGGTCCTAACACGTTTTTTGATGAATATTCATATACTACTTGCCATACTTGCAGTAGCTTTTTAAATGAACTTTAGCAATATTTTACGTTATAATTGCTAGTATTTGAACAAAGAATATTCTTTTCGATAAATTCTCTTCAAGTTCTACAATTATATATCCAAATTAATAATCCGAAAAATGTCCAGGTTAAGGGCAAAGTACATCGTTTAAATCAAGTGAATTTAGGATTGTGATAAACAAAATACAATAAAATTATTAATGTTAATATGACTCATATAGAATGTTAACATGAATCAGCTTATATGTTAACTAAAATTTTTTAAGATCCATGATCAAAATAAATATGGGTCAAATAGGGTGAGAGAGGAATAATAGTGCAATTACAATTCGATCAAATAAGTAAGACGTAATACGGAGGGGTGAATGCGAAATGAATGAATCATGTATAGTGGAGATTAATGATGTTTAACCAATAGTATGAATAATAATAATAATAATAATAATAATAATAATAATAATAATAATAATAATTAATAATAATAACACAAAGATTTATGAATAAGGAAAACAAGGACAATTACAAATGACTACGAAAGGTCATAGTCAAATTAGTTCATTCAATAGTTAAGATTACGATTGATTAATTGGCCTTGATGTCGGCCAGGGGAGGAGGAGTGGTTGAACATATTTCTTCTGTACGCAAAGCTCCGATTTCTTCATCCGGATGGCTATTGCCTCAGCCGTTTGAAGGACTATATGAGTCATATTAACATTAACAATGTTATTATATTTTGCCTATCACAATCCTAAATTCACATGTCTTAAACGATGCACTTTGCCCTTAACCTAGCCATTTATCGAATTATTAATTTGGATATATAATTGTAGAACTTGAAGAGAATTTATCGAAAAGAATATTTTTCGTTCAAATAATAGTCTTTTAATATGACGGGGGTCTTTAAACGATTAAATTGCTAATTACTTCAAAATACCGTATCTTGACTTTTAACATGAATATTATTAATGTAGGCTATTAGGTATACAGAAAGATAATTTACAATGATAAAGATTAATTCAATAACAGCCAAACTGGTAATACTAAGGCTAAATCATTCAACATAGGATTCAGATGTTTCATCATAGATGTCCGTACAATACTAAACTTCACTGTAGTTACTTGGCATTGTTTAAACATTCTCTTTTGATCGAATTTTTCTAAATACATATAGGGTTAATATGCACATAAACTAATCAAATATATTCTGCTTGAACTAATCATTCACTCAGTCATATACTTATCTTATCGCTCTTATACTTCGAGCATTTCTACAGATGAGTAGATTTTATACATTCGAACTTGTTCTATCAACACAAAATATGGAACAATAGTTAATGACGTCGTTGTGATCAATGAAAGGTGATGCTAGCATCTTTCAACTGAAGATTATTAATAACCAACTCCACTAAAAACACCACAATTTTTTCTTACCCATTTTGTATGCGAAAAAGATTAAATTGTCACTAGTTCAATTCTTGGTATGGTTGTTGATATACTATTCTGAGAATTCAAAAACTGTTACGAAATATTTGACCGGTATTTCATGTTTTCCACAGATTTTCTAGCTGATATCAATTCTTTACGAACTAATTTCTACAAATAACCCAAAATATGAGAAATAACGTAGAATATTACCTCACTTTTTCTGCTATAAAGTATGTTTATTATATTTCTAGACGAGTTAGAAGAAACATTACAGCAACACACCATTTTAGTGGACACGAACACCAGTGGGAACAATCGAATGTATTTAATACAAAATTACAGAACTTAATACAACTTAACAATTATAAAGTTAATGCTTAATTTGCAAAATGTCCACAAATTGTCTCAAAATGACTCAAACTTCATTGTTCTTGCATTTTCATACAAATTGCATTCTGTTTCCATTCTTTACTGTTTGATCCTGTTGTCTCTCTACTGCCAGACCTTCTGTTCACGACTAACATCAAATACCACTTATGTTAATATAAGTAGCACACACCACACCATGACGAAATTAAATACATTTTTGTTTTAATCCTATGTAAATGTTACTAGTTCTATACGAATATCACTCCTTCGTTATTTTCTCCAAAACGTAGTTTGTGGTATAATTGATCATAGTATCCTTTAAAACATATAAATACAGTCTAAGCCTACTATCGGTTATGACTTTGCAGAATCTCAATAGTTTTTAAGTCGTTCGTTTATTGATAATTATGAACTATTGATGCTTTGTCCATTGTTAGTTAGACGATGTTTAACAGTAATGATATACATGGTGGAGAACATAGTGAGAAAATTTCAAAACTATTGTAAATTAGGAACAGGTAAACGACTTCGAACTTTTTATGTCTTACCTTAGATACTATAAAGTTATCAAAATGGGAATTTGTGATTGTAGTGATTTTAAGAGTTAAATTCATGAGTCGATATAAACTAGACCATCATTGGGAACCTGGAAGCACTGGAAGACCGTTTCGTCTTAGTATAGGACTCCTCATTAGTACGTATCCACGATTCCTCATGCGGAACTCCAATTCAAGATCTGTTTCACACACCAACACTAAACCCCAAGACCACCGATCTGCCATCCAACAGAGTTAATATCTAATTTCAATTAATCCTTGATCTTGTGCAACCCTTCATCCACTGTCTGAAGTGGATAACGGTCTCATCCGACACGGATTGAAGTCCACTGGTCATGGCGTTTCACCAAAAATCCTGGAAATCTATCTTGAAGCTAGTCACTAGTGAGCACATGATGATTATTGTTATTATGAGAGTTTGTGGAGATTGTAATAATTTTAAAAGTTGCACACTTCTGGGAAGTCCCATACTAGGACAAAATGTTCGTCCAGTGCTTCCAGGTTTCCAATGACGGTCTAGCTTATATTGACCCATGAATTCAACTATCAAGATTACTAAAACCACAACTCCTCAATCTGCTTAGAAAGGTAACTTATGAAGTTTTAGTGGGAAGTTGTGGCTAATGGAGCGCAACCACATTGGGTGTGAAATGATTAATCATAAGGAGCTATAAATGATGGTTCCGAATGATGGTGAATCTAGTAGAACTAAAAATGTAAATCATTGAGTGCAATCTCACTGGTCTGAATGCTCAAC